TCTGAACCGATGGACTGGTAGCAGCACCTTTCAGGTATTTTCTCTGCTAAATCACAGGGCACCAACGATGAATTTGCACAGGCAGTTAGAGTTAAAAGCATCACCAGGTTGAGTCGGCCTTTATCTGTGTTTGCAATATGGTCTTGTGGAAAGTCTCAAAGTCAAGGGCCCCTCCTCTGTCATCTACTTGACTGTGTGACCTTGAGTATGCTCCTTCCATTTCCAAACCTCTAGATCTTTGTCTTTAAAAAGATAGAAATCCCCCAAGCCCTCTACAAATGCAAAGGAATGGCAGGATTATTACTCAGCCATCACGTTAAATTCTAAACTAAGGTACCATTGAGAAACAAGCATCTCTGAATTCAGTCTCATTTTTCACTTGTTCCCAAAGAAGTTAATTCTGTCTTTCTATTCACTACCTGCCTGACAAGTGACATCAACACCGTCAGCTGGGAATTATTGCCTTTTTATTTTCCCCTCCTGATGCCAGGCTTGCTGGTGATAATATGTATTCCGGCAAGGCAGGGGCTCACAGCGCTGCACAATCAGAAGCCCTGCACACTACTTCCGTCAAAACAATTAGTGTTCATTTCGGCTCTACTAGCTGAGACCTGCAGTGACTGATCAGTATAAATTATGGATGCATCTGTCCAGATGCACTTGTTCATTCATGCATAGATTTGAGGAAATTTCCTTCTTCTCTGTTCAAAAACAGTCGCCAAAAAAATTATACTTAAAAATATAATTTAACACATCTCCACTACGGCATTATCCCCGTCATAGAACACATTCCATCTTTGAGTGCCGACATTTGAAACTTATTTGATGCATTTCTGGGTTACAATCTTGCCACCTGTAAAACAGGCCACCTTTCTAAATCCATAGGAATTTACAGATATTGTTTACATAAAATAATGCAGTGTGATTCTTTTCCATTCTAAGGGGCGATACCCACGTGCATTCAAGGTAACTGTCAAAGACTATCTTCAGTCTTCTGCCTGCTCAGGACTCTTGGAGCACATGCAAAATGAAACCTTGAATTAAAAAAAAAAAAAAGTGAATTAGTCCTCTTGCTACATCCAGAACCCTGACTGTTCACTTTCTTTCATTTCTTTGCATGAACAACTACAGCAACCACTGGGACAGTTGTCCAATCCAACAGAAGAATTCCTGTCACTTCTTTCAAACACTTGGCTCTTTGCAATGTAACCAGGAGCGTCTGCCTTTGATAGGTTTATTTACTTGCTTCAATAAAACTGTGTACACAGACATGCACATTTGAGCATTTTCATTATTAAATTAATAAGCGCCGAACAAAGCAATGAAAAGCCAGCGGCGGCAGAGAGGCACAGCACACTTGAGGCTGAAGCCGCTCGGAGAACAGTCAGCTGCACAGTCACCAGGGCCTGTTCCACTGTGGTTCCCCCAGAGCCAGACTCCTCTCCACCCGAGGTGGCTGCCAGACACAAGCTGATACTGCTTGAACCAGCTGGCTTTGTTTTAAGAATCCCAAAGAACAGAAGCAGCAGACATAGTTCATAATGATCGGTTTTTTAGGGAATTCAGGGAGTAACAACCAAATGTCAGTGGCACGGGGGAGGCATATTGTGTGTGGGTTTAAGTCTCTCCCTGGAAAAGAAATGTTCAATTACGGTCTCCCAAGGCTGGAAGCTCCGAGGGAAGTGGCAAGTCGTCCTCCGCGGGCAACATTCTGACACAAACCACCAAAACCAGAGAGCAAGGTGAAGACAATAGAAAAGAATGCAGACACACGCTTTTGTTTGTCTTTTTCTGACACATCTTCACAGCCTGCCTCCCAAACCAGTCCACAGCTGTTCTTTATCCTCTTTGCTTTCTCTTCTTTACAGATTTTTGTTGCTTTTCTCTGATCCCACAGCGCAGAGGCCTGCAGGCCCACACGCAGCATTGACACAGCACTCTTCTAAATCACCCTGAAATCAATAAATCCTTATGGGGTCCCTTCTCCTTTGCAACAATTCGCCTCCTGGGGGACAGAGTTAAGGCTCTCCCCTACTCCCAGAATCCCTCCACCCCCATTTTTCTGTCATTTTGAGAAAATTCTGCTTAGGAATGAAAATTGCTGAGTAAGTATTTCGACTATCTAATTTTATTACTTTACCATTGACATATCTTCCCTCTGGAAATGTTTGCAATTAATTAATTAGTGGTAATATCCCCCAAGGGACTAATTCAATGAATATTCTCCAGTTCTTGCTTAAAAAAAATAATAATAGTAGCTTAACTGTATCCAAGCTGCAAATGTGCAAATGGCCCCAAAGTGCATTTGGAAAAATCAAGGGATCTATCTACTGCAGTGAATTTTTATCACTAAGTCAATCTGGGGAGACCAATAATTCTTTTCCTAATGAGGGGTTTCCCGGGTTGAACGCAAGGTTTCTCCAAGGTAACAGCACCCAGCAACAGCAGTAGCCAGGAACCCTTGCCGTGTACGGTAGTCAATAATCTCGGGGGTACAGGCTAACTTGTTCTTTAAGCTTCTTTCTCCTCCTTGTGGGGGTCAGGGAAAGGGGTAGGAGGGTGGAGGGGAAGAAGCTGGAGACATCCCACCAGTACACGCTGCTAAACACCTGAATCAAGCAGATACAACTGCTGCGGTGTCAGGTCACCCAGGAAGCAGGGTAAGCACACTTACTGGTGAATACTTATCATGTGAAGAGGACAATTTCACATTTTTTCACATCAATGATTCCGCTTCCAGATCTGTCATCTGTCTCTCTTCCAAGCCCACAGCACCTTCCTATAGAATTAAATGTTCACATGCATAGTCCTAGATGCAGATGAAATACCCAATAAGCAAGAGAAGCAGGAGTTTGTTTGTTCTTACTTACCTATATAGATCATCCCCCCCCCCCATGTGATTCATTACCTCTGAAAACCCACTGGAGGGTCAGCTATGGGTAGATTCTGACTCAACAGCAAACAACAATAACAACAACCTATGTAAGTAAGTGCAGGTGAACCCCTGGCTACCTTGCCTATGGGCTACTCCACCCCTGGCCTTACTGGCCTGGGCCGCAGAGCTAACAAAACCAGGACTGACGCGAACCCAGGACTCAGCTCCCTGCACTGTTCCTACCACTCATCCGTGCATTTCAACTACAAAATGACACTGAGCTGTCCTGTGACTCAGAGACATACACTCACTGAGGACCTGGGAGAAGAGATTGTAAATGATACAGAGATGTGACCTGCATAAATGAAAGGCCAGGATTTGTGAGTTTCTGACCTACAAATTCTAAGTTCAGACACCCCTACTAGGCTGGCCTTCCCTTTTCTTCCCCCAAAGTCGAAAGTAGCAGGTTGGAGGCCCTCAGAAGGAGAGCTCCAGGTCTGGAAGTGGTGCCCTGGTCAGGGAGGGGTACAGAGTTGCATTGCTCCATAGCTTCCATCCACCTGGTCTAGAGGGCACAGTGCTTGCTAGCCACCAATGGGCTTCTCTTCTGATCAGTGGTCATTTGAGAATCCCTGGGATGGAGTTGGCCAGGTTGGTCTCAGACCATGATGCCCAGCCAGGCATCCGGGCCCCAGTGCAAGGAATAGGCTGCCCTCCTGGCGCGCTCCACCGCAGCTCACCAGCGCCACCCACAGCGGAGCGCAGCCTCTGCTGGCCAGTCTCCTTCTCCCCTCTCATCTCAGCCAGCAGGCAGCAGGCAGGAGGCAAGAAGATTAGGTGAGGGTGGGGGTGAGATGCTCAAGGCTCTCGGACTGCTGCCTGCAGATGCCATGGGTCAGATCTGGTGCGGTTCCAGGCCACATCCAGGGAGAAATAAACTTCCACCTTGAGGAATACTCTTTGGCTCATAGGTGGCTGCAGAGAACTAAGCTCTAGGCCTGGGCAAAGACCAAGATTTGGAAATCAGGGAACTTGTTTGAATCCTCTGAGCCAGATCCCAGAGGACAAAGAAGCTGAGCCAGTGAGACCCACCAATGTCAGCCCGCGCTACCCCAACTAGCGCTGGGTTTGTGCCTGGAAAAAAAACTTTCTTAGCTCAGAGCTGGGCTAGAGGCTCCTCCAAGCCCCTAGCCTTCGCTCTCCTCCACCTGTCAGTGTTCAGCCTCCGCCCAGCCTTTGCCCACCTCAGTCCCCCCTCCCTCCCGCGCCTGTGTTCACTTGGACTCCACATCTCTCTCCTCTCCCCTCCTCCTTCTCCCCCTAGCCTTTCTCCCCCACTTTTCTCCTCTCTTTCCTCTTGTCTCTTCTTTTATATCCTTCCCTCCTCCCTCGCTGCCCGGGCTGCCTCTTCTCTACCGGGCCGCAGGGGAGGAGGTGAGCGGGTTGCGCCCGCGGCCTGAGCAGCGCCAAGGGAGGCGTTCCTCCTACTTCTCCCGGGGAATTTGGTGAGATTGGAAGTGTGTGCGCGCGCGCGTCTCTGCTTGAGGCAAAACCGGGTAGGATACAACCAGGAGCAGAGAGGGTGAGGGGGTTTGGCGCTTCTCACCGGCTGCACAGCCCCCAAACCTCCCAGAACAAGTGTGAGTGAGGGGAAGTGTGCAAGCATCCTCGCGCGCGTGGACTGGTTGCTTTTGGCACGCTTGGTGGCCCGGGGCCCCTGGGCCTGGGGTCCTGTCTGGCGGCCCGGGATTACCGTGACGTCACTTTGAGCCTCTGGCCACCTTGGGCTGGGACACCTTGGGATCCACACAGCCCCGCGCCCTTCCTCAGCTCGCTTCGCCACCTCGAGCCTTTGGAAACCTGCACCTCTTCCTTCTCCTGCCCATCCATGGGCCTCTCTGTCTTCCGGACCCCGCGGGCCGGTGGGGCGCCTTCCGGAGCGCAGAGCTCAGCAGCCTGGCTGCGCGCGGCTCTGCCTCCAGCCGCGCCAAGCGGACGAAAGACCCGGCGCTGTGCTCCCGCTGCGGTGTAAGGAACCGGGGCGCTGAGCTGCTGGGGGCGCCGCGCCGCCCAACCGAGGCGGGAACTCCGGAGGGAAGAGGAAGGCGGGCGGGAGCCGGCCACCATGTCCTTCCCACATTTCGGACATCCATATAGCGGCGCTTCTCAGGTAAGAGGAGCTTCGGTGGGGCTTGGCGTGGCTAGACTGAGTGAAGTGCCCAGAGAGCCCTCCTCTCACACGTGTCTTTAGAGGATTCAGAGGGAGCAAAGACCACGCACGCCCCCTCCTACATTCCCAAGCGTTCGCTCCCTGGGTGCATGCTGGAAAATCAGACTGTGGCCCCCAAAACGTAGGCATCCTTACCCCACGCTAAGGAGAGTGTGGAATCCCCGCGGTGACCCGGCCAGGTCCATGCCTTGTACTGATAGATGTCTGGGAGAGTCAGAAAACTTCCAGAGTGCAGAGACCCGTCCACCTCATCATCATTTTAGGAGTCCATTTCTTAGCGTCTCAAGGAAGCTCTGGTGGCCTAGTAGGTAAGGAGTTGGACTGCCAACACAAAGGCAGGGGGTTTGAATCCATCAGCTGCTCCATAGGAGAAAGATGGGTCGTCTCCTCCCGCGCTTCTGAAGCCCGCTGAACGGTGGGTTATGAGCTGGTTCAGCAATGGAGCACCTGTCCTGGTGCTCCCAATTCCACGCCCCGTCCTAGTGCTCCACCTCTGGCTGCCTCAGCCTCTCAGACCAGGGTGGCTGCTTGCTCAGTGGCATCGGTTTTCTGGGGAAATACATCACTGTTTTCTAGCCACATACACCACTGTCATTCCATCCCTCTCTAGGGTAAGGAGCTTGTTCTCATGGGATCCGGTTCCTTCATGACCTTTAACCTGCTGTGTGAACTTAGGCGAGTCTTGTACACTCACTTGCTGGATTTCTAGTCTTTATACAATGGGAGTAGAAGCGAGTGCATCATGGCAGTCTCTGAGCTCGACTTCTAGATCAACCCTTGGATTGATACTGGGATGGGAGAAAAGGAGGGATGAGGTATCTCTAATTCTGATTCCAGAACATTTTCCACTGGGATTCTTGAAGGTCAGGAAGCCCTGGAGCGCATTTGTAAGGGCAATTTGGATAAATTGCCTCTTTGGAAAGTTACCTTCCCAGTACCTACCCGAATGCTCAGTACACTGGGGCACTGAGTGAACTCAGTGAACTCAGCACACTGGTGAACTTCCTTCTGCTAACTTTGATAACCTCAGGTGCGGCTGTCTGTCTCCACTTCTCCTCCTCTGGCCCCCTAGTTTCTGATGTCGGCCAGTCCAAGCACCACTTGCTGCGAGTCCGGCCCCAGCTCCGTTCCCGACGTGGCCTCCGGCTCCAGTCCCACCGCCGCTCTCTGCTGCGCATCCTACAATAGTCGGCTAATGGGCAGCGCGAGGCCCGAGCTGGGTCCGGCCTTGGGCATCTATGGAGGTCCTTACGCGGCCGCGCAGAGCTACCCCGGCTACCTGTCCTACGCCCCTGAGCCCTCTGCGCTGTACGGGGCGCTGGTAAGTATGCTGGGTGATGCCTGAGTCTGTGCGCCAGAGCCCACCGAGCCTTGGATTGGGGTGCAAATCGTATCTCCGGATGAAATGCAATGACATCGTCAGGAAAGCATCCAGAAGGGACCCAAAGCTGGGGAGAAAGAAGAGGAAAGGAAGCGAGTGGTTGGGATAGTTTGTAAGGGGTGGGGACATCTTTACCGTACTTTACAGTTTGCAGAACCCTAGCTTATTAAGAGAAGTTACTTCTGCACACTAGGTGAGGGGCAAAACAGGTATCACTATTCAAAGTTTATAGGAGTGGAAATTGAGGTGCAGAAAAGTTCACATACTTCTTCGAATGTTACAAAGATGCAGAGGTTTGGAAGATAGCTCTGCTAGGGGAAGAAAGGCGGGTTGGGTGCAGGAGCAGGAACCCTAGGGGCACATCTCATAGTTAACTGCTGTTTATTCTGAACCAGAGATTCCGCCAAGCCTCTTCCTGTGGCGTCCTTCACAACCTAAAACCCAAACCCACTGACATCGAGTTCATCCCCACTTGTTGCAAGCCTATAGGGCAAAGTCAGGACGGGGCCCAAAAAGTGACATTTTGGTTAGAAACTGAGCACTTTAAACATTGAATCACTAGCGTTCCTTTTCAATGTGCTGGTATTGTTATTATTATTCCTTTTTCACAGAGAAGAAAACTGACACGCAAAATAGTCAAATAATATCTTTCAACAGACATTACTGGTAGCACGGGGATTTAAGTCACACCCTTAGTGTGCGACTTAGATGCACTTTGCTTCTCCACCCCTATGCTTCTCAAAGTCAGCTAAAAGTCTTTTTTTCCCCTCTCCCACTAGAATCCACAGTATGAATTTAAGGAGGCTGCAGGGAGCTTTACATCCAGCTTGGTCCAATCAGGAGCCTATTACCCTTACGACCCCACACTGGGGCAGTACCAATACGACCGGTAAGATGCAGAGGTGCCAGGCGCCCCCGTCCCACCTCCTATGCCAACGTGGGGCAGGTCCAGGGTCGGGGAAGTCAGGTGGGGGAGAAGGAATCGCACTTCTGGGCACAGACTTTCCCCTGCCAGAGTCCCAGGTCCCCAGCCTCCAGATTGTGAGCCACTTTTCTTCCCAGTTACGGCTCCATGGAGCTGAGTGGTGCTGGTCGCCGGAAGAACGCCACCCGTGAGACCACGAGCACGCTCAAGGCCTGGCTGAACGAGCACCGTAAGAACCCCTACCCCACCAAGGGCGAGAAGATCATGCTGGCCATCATCACCAAGATGACCCTCACCCAGGTGTCCACCTGGTTCGCCAACGCGCGCCGGCGCCTCAAGAAGGAGAACAAGATGACGTGGGCCCCCAAGAATAAAGGAGTGGAAGACAGGAAGGCAGAGGGCAGCACAGAGGAACGGCTGGGCAGCCTGAATGGGGACACCAAAGGTACTCAAAGTGCCCGTCCTACTTTATACGTCCCACCAGCCAGCAAGCACTTTGCTGTTTTTCATGGCCACCCACTAAGGTAGCTTTTCTGTATTGTGCCCCACATAGAAGAGCCCTGATGGTTCAATGTTAAAGCACTCAGTTGCTCAGCAAATAATCAAGGGTTGGAACCTTCCAGGGGCTCCCGGAGAGAAAGACAAGACGAGGCAGTTCGCTTCTGTAAAGATTTAGAGCCCTGCAACCCCTGTGGGTATTCTACTCTAACCTATTCAATGATGGCTGTGAATCAGAATGACTCCACAGGAAGAAGGTTTTGTTTTATTATTTCTTCTTGTTTAGCATAGAATTTGCATCAGCTACCAGCCTAAGGGCCTTTGCCAGTGCAAGGCATCCTGGGCCTGGAATCCCAACCTGACTAGCATCTTCTCAACTCCCTGGTGCCCAAGCCTAAGTGCCCCCTCCCCCCCACTTATTCTGCAACACAGTGGTCTGTTTCACTCCCATCGTCTAGCAAGGCCAAAGAAAAGTTAACACAGTGGGTCTAAGGTGTGGAGTGCAGCAGTGCTTGACCCCTACACCGAATGTTCCAGCCCCACCTCAGATCCAAGGTTGGGGAAGCAGGGATGGGGTGGAGGTGGGAAAAGGAATCACAGGTCCAGGGCATAAGAAGCACCTTTCCTGCAAACTCCAGCTGCATTGCTGGATTTTCTAAATGTAAATACCTAACCGCTTAACTGACATCTAGGGCAGGGTTGGCGCAAGTTGCCAAAGGCAAATAGTTTTTTAACCCTTGTTGTTATGTGCCGTGGAGTCAGAACAGAACTCATAGGTGACCCTCCAGCGGGTTTTCAGAGACAGTTAATCTCACGGGAGGAGACTGTCCATCTTTCTCCCGAAGAACAGCTGGTGGATTCCAAGGAGCAGAGAGGGTCTTTAAATTGGCCACATAATTTCTTCTCACTAAACCACCAGAAGTGCCCCCCAAAACCCAAACCAACGCAAAGCAAAAAACCCTGCATGCGCTTAAACCAGGCAAACACACACACACACACACACACACACACACACACACACACACCCTCTCTCCTCTGCTTTTAGTTTTAAACAGATGCAAACTCCAGACCTTGTACCTGCATCTGCACTGGAGAAAAATCATGGAAGGGTTGGGACTGGGTTAGGGGCGGAATTCTTTGCGACAGGGGAAGTGCAGCGGCTGGTGTGGGCAGACCGGTCAATTACTGCGAGAACGCCAGAGCGCAGAGCCTTCCTGCTAAAAGCTTCTCAGGGATGCTCACTCCTGCGATTTCCCTTGGGGGGTGGGAGAGCTGGGCTTTTCTCACTCTTTTCTGATTTCCTACAGATCTTACTGCTAACCGAGAGGCCCAGGGTCTCCGACTGAGTGACCTGGAAGACTTGGAGGAAGAGGAGGACGAGGAGGAGGCTGAAGAAGAGGAGGCAGAGATCACAGGGGCGGACTGGCAGGCGGGCTTCCACAAAGACGCGCAGTCACTGCCGGCGGCTCCGTGCGCCACAGCTCGAGAGCGCAGGCTGGAGCGCAGGGAGTGCGGCCTGGCGCCACCCGGCTTCTCCTTCAGTGAGCTCCCGGGACCTCGAGCCCAGGGCGCGGACTTCCAAGAGGCGGAGCCCCGGGGCCCCACACTCACCCGGCACTTCTGCAGCGAGAAACCGCGCATCTGGTCTCTGGCACCCACTGTGGAGGCCAACACCATCGAAGATGTGCTCCAGGCGCGGCCAAGGCCAAGGAGTCCTCAGTGCCATTTGATTCCTGGGCAGCCTCCAGGCTCTGGCGAGAGACCTGTGGTCCCCAGAAACTCTGTGTGCTATGAGCCTTCCCGCGTAGCCAAAGCCTTTGGAAACCCTACATTTGGCCTGCAGGAGGTGGCACTGAGCTGTGCGCCCAGCCCGCTGCGGAGGGGGCCTGCGGTGCAATGCCAGTACCCGTCCGGAGCAGAAGGTAGTGGGCTCCCAACCTTGCCCTTCAAGAGACACTTCCCCACCCTCTTCTTTTAAGGACAAGTTCAGATCTGACAAGAGTCAAATTTTCCCTTGAAAATCAAGCTTAGACTCTTTCATTTAAAAGCTAAAGAATGATAATAAATTCGGATGGAAGGAATAATTTGAGGATCCCTTAGAACATTGCTGAACAAATAAACAAAGCTAGATTTCCAGATTCATGGCCCAATGTTCTGCCCAGTGTCCTGGGTATTCATCACCCCACCCCCACCCCACCCCCTTGTGCCAGTGTTCCCAGCCTGGCTATCAGAGGAGCCAGTCTTGTCCCAAGACTTTGTCCTGAGACTGAGAAAGTCTGAGCAGGAGGACTGACAAATACACTGGGTTTACAACCCTCTCAAAGATACACTGATACAAGCAGTGTAGACACGTCTCTGCCTCTGGCAGTCTTAGAAGCTCAGAGTGGATACCACAAACCCCCAAGGGTTCACCTCAAAGCAGGGTTTTTAGTCAGTCAGTGTTTCCAGCTTCTAGCTGTTTGGTTTGGTTTTATTTTTTTTTTAGCTCTGCTTACAGACTAGTAAAAGGGAATTTCGCCCCTGAAAAGGGCATTGGAGCATCAGGGCCTCAGAGCAAGTATTGTCTAATTCTTCCCTTTGTAGTAATTTCTCTCAGGATTAACTGCCAGCTTGGAAAATTAGGTTACAGTGGTTTTGAATTTGCACATAATGGTGTCCAAATGTTCCCTCTGGTGAGGAAATTGCTTTTAGATAGACCCCACTTCCCTTTGGAAGAGACATAGCTGACCCCTGATTTTCTACCAGGCCGCAGACATTGGCCTTCGGATTTTAATCAACCTTTCCTCTCTCAGCAGGTTAGCGCAATGGCTGCAACTTCCAGAAGACTCTTGGAAATGAGCCCTTCTCCTTCTCCAGGGTACTGAGAAGCTTCCAGACTTCACCAAGGACCAAGGGTTCTCCCCGTCGCCTACCATACAGACAGACCCACAGAAATTCTTCCAGTGGCCATGCTAGCACATCAGTGAGGGGCCTGGGGAGGGGACAGAAGTGCATTTTTTTTTTTTTTTCAGATCCCCTCCCCTCCCAGGTGACAGGTCCTTTGGGGAAGGCCAGGTAGAGTGGGTGCTGCTGAGAGACTCTTGCACTCTGGGTCCAGGTCAGAGGCTGCTCCCTCCCCTGCTCTCTGCCCCACCTCTCACCTTTCCCACCAGCCCCAGCTTGTGACCTACCTGACCTGGCCACCTAGGACCAGGAGTATCTTCTCTCCCCCACCTCTTTGTGTCCTTAAAAGTAATGGAGCAGAATGTGCTGTGTGGCCTGTCTGTGACAGGGGTGCTGGGGGAGGTCAGGGTGCAGATGAGACCAGTGGGGATCTGGGGACAGGGAGGGGAAGGCTGCAGACTGTGCCTCTTTGGATCAGTGCTGCAGTCCAATATGCAGTCCTGGCTGGACACACATTCCCACTTGTTCTAGTATATGGGAGGGCAGGGGGGGGCTGCCATGGTGCTGATGTTGGGAGGATGATGAAGTTTGCTGGCAGCTTCACTGTTTCTGCATTCGTCCTTGGGTCATACCTTTATCTGGGGACAGGGAGGTGAGAGAGGTCCTCTTCGCCATCTTTCAACACTTCACAGGAGAGACCACAGTGCCCCTTACTTCAGACATGGTGATGACGCCTGTCATTTTAGGGTGAGAAAAGGGAGCACTCTCTATGTCCTTGTTAATGAAAGTATCCATAAACACTTGTGGTGCAGGTCTGTTGTTGTTGTTGCTATGTGCCATCGAGTCGTTTGCGACTCATAGCAACCCTATGTACAACAGCCCTAAACCCTGCTCTATCCTGTGCCAATCTCATTGCCTCTGACACACCCATCCCGAGTACCTCAGTCACTGAATCAATCCACCTCATAGAGGGTCTTCCCCTCCTGTGCTGTCCCTCCACTCTGCCCAGCATGATGTCCCTCTCTAAAGACCTGTCTCTCCTTACAACATGTCCAAAGTATGTCAGGCGAAGCCCCAGAATCCTTGCCTCCAAGGAGCAGCCTGGTTTAACCCTCTCTAGGATGAATCTGTTTGTTTTCTTGGCAGTCCATGGTACATTCAATACTCTTCTCCAGCACCACAGCTCAAAGGCGTCAATTCCCCTTCTATCCTCCCTAGTCATTGTCCAGCTCTCTGATGCATAACAAGTGATTGCAAAAACCATGGCCTGTATCAGGCGCACCTTAGTCTCCAGAGAGACACCGTTGCTCTTGAGTACTTTAGAGAGGTCCCTAACCGCAGACTTTCCCATCGCAATACGTTTTTTGATTTCCTGGCTACTGGTGCCAAGAGTGTTGACCGTGGAGCCGAGCAAACTGAAGCTGTGAACAGTCTCAATCTCTTCACCATCCATCCTGATGCTACTGATTGGTCCAGTGGTGAGAATTTTTGTCTTCTTGACATTGAGAAAGAGGTTGACCTTGTGTAGCATCAATGGGCGAGGGCGCAGCAGTAGCACTGGCTCAGTGAGGCTGCCTGAGTTGGTGTCCCAGGGTCCTTGGATTTTAATCATCTGACAGTTGGGAAGAAGGATGGGCCCAGGGCCCCCACCAAGCTGTTGGGGCTGCTGAAAGGCACAGGGCTGTGCACCTAAAGGCCTGGATCTTTAAGGAGTCTGGAGCTGTGTCTGCTCATCTGTAATCACTGCAACGCAGCCTTACAGGGTGTTGGCCTCACAGGGCAGAGTGCCAGCTGAGGGACCGCTCACCCTCTCACGGAAGTCTAGGGAGGAAAGATGCCCTCTGCAGAAGGAACATTCATGATCACTGGAGGCCTGCAGTGCGCGGGGGGCAGGGAAAGCAAAAACAGAGGTTGGAACAGCAGAAGCCAGGACAGCAGTGGCCCAGGCTTGGCCCACAGATTTGGGCTCAGTTCTCTGGAGACAGTGCAGTGTGTCAAGGCCTGAACAGAGTAGCCAGGAAAACCTGAGAAGAATGTAGGCAGCAAGCCACACGCCAACCCCACCCCACTTCCTTTATCTAGAAGTTTCTGAATCTGAGCTTTAAAATGAAAAATCAAATCCATAGTCTTTATTCTGACTCCTAGTGACCAGTGGGACAGAGGGTTTCCACACCCGTAATCTTTAAAGAAGCAGACCGCTACATCTTTCTCTGTTGAGGTTCTAGTGACTTTGAACTACCCACTTTCCCATTAGCAGTGAAGTACTTAACCACTGTGCCACTAGGGTCTTACAGGAGGGGCTTTCGAGACCATGAGTTACAGAAACATAAATGGTTTTTCAGGTGAGTGGACAGGCCACATGAGAAGGCCTGGGATAGAGATTTCTACTGGGGTCCACTCTCCTGGGGTCCACCGCTCTCCCTCCCTTCCTCTGGGCAACAGCTGCTCCCATCCCTACCCTCCCAGGGGACCCTCAGGTAGCCCTCACTGATCCAAGGCTTAGGGTCTAGGAAATTAAACTGAGAAAAGATAAACATTATTTCCAGTCGGCTTTGCAGGATTAACGCTTGTAATAAAGAGTATTAGCTGGAGGTTTCTTTCAAGGCGCCCTCAACTCCACCACCTGCAGAGAGCCAAAGGAGACACCTCCAGAGGGCCCCCGGTTGGGGGTGCTGTTCCAGCTCGCCCTGCCCCTGGGGAGACATGGGAGACAGGCCAGAGAGGGAAAAGCCTATAAACAAGCTATGGACAGGGACTAGGGTGTATCAGCAGTAGAGCGGGCAGGTTTATCTCCAGCATGCACTACACCTAGCCCATCTAGAGGAACATGAATCTTAGGAAAAGGAGTCCTCCTAGGTTTGCCCACCTCACCACCCGGAACTCCAGACTAGAAGCTTAGTCTTTCCCAACCCAGAAAGGAGCTAGCGGCTCAGGCTTGGCCCACAGATTTGAGCTTCGTTCACTGGAGACGGTGCAGTGTGTCAAGGCCTGAGTAGCCAGGAATTTCGGGGATTTGCTTTTCCACCTCAGCCCCATCACTACCTGGCTATGTGGCCATGGGCAGGATGTAGTCGTTAAATAAGGGATGATGTCATTCTCTATCCTGGCCGTCCACAGATTCCTCTGTGGCTGATGGTCTCCTTCATGGCCAGGCCTGAGAATGGCACGTTTGATCCCGACCCAGGCCCCCTGCGGCAATCTGTTCCCACCAACTCCACCCCCACAGAAAGCCTCTTGAAAATCTCCCAATATAATCTCCCGCAATCATATTTTAAATACTGTTTTGATTAAAAACCAGACAAGGGGAGGGAAGTTACAGCCCTGCTCATCTCGGAGGAGCCTGCTGGTGCCCGCAGAGCCGGACTCCGAGCTCTCCACGTGTGTGTCTTGGAAAGCAGAAAACTGACCTGCTCTGATTTGAAGAACCTGAATGAGCAGAGCTTCAGAGCATCCTCAGTGGGTCGATGCACCTCCCTTAGGCTGGGAGCAGTGGGGGACTGAGCTCCCCGGGTGGAGGGCAAGCTGGACAAGAAGAGGCGTTGGCAAGGCCCGTGTCGCTTCCCCACACTGACTCTTCTCATACCACGAGTCGCCTGATGACCACTAAGGTTTTGTAGTCTGCCAGTCATATTAAGGGTTATCTGGAGACCACACCAAATGCCAGATCCGGTGTCATGTCCTTGAAATGCTCTAACACCACACAGTGTTTGCTGCAGAAGGTTAAGGACTACAGTCTCCAATATAGACTGAAGATCGACATCAGGAAAACAAACATTCTCACCACTGGATCAATTGGGGGAACCATAGATGGAGAAGAGGTTGAGATTGTTAACAATCTCAGCTTACTCAGTTCCATAATCAACACCCTTGGAACCAGTAGTCAGGAAATAAAAATTTTAAAAAGTCCCAAACACACACACACACACACACACACACACACACACACACACACACCCCAAATTGCATTGGAAACATCTGCTGTCAGGGACCTCACTAGAGTGCTCAAGAGCAATGGTGTCAGTCTAGAGACTAAGGTGTGCCATGGTCTTTGCAATTATTTGCTACACATTCAAAAGCTGGATGGACAATGAATAA